TCACTCGCTCTCTCTCGCTCTCTCTCGCTCTCCCTCGCTCTCTCCCGCTCTCTCTCTCTCTCTCTCTCTCTCTTTCTGCTCTCTCTCTCTCTCTCTCGTCTCTCTCTCTCTCTCTATCTCTCTCTTCTCTCTTCCTCTCTCTCTCTCCTCTGTCCCTCTCATCTCTCTCTCTCTCTCTCGCTCTCTCGACTCTCTCTTCATCCTCAATCTCTCTCTCCTCTCTCTCTCTGTTCTCTCTCTCTCGTCTCTCTCTGTTCTCTCTCTCTGCTCTCTCTCTCTCTCTCTCTCTCGATCTCTCCTCTCTCTCTCTCTTCTCTCTTCTCTCTTCTCTCTCTCTCTCTCTCTCTCTCTCTCTCTCTCTCTCTCTCTCTCTCTCTCTCTCTCTCAAGGCATCCCTCCCAGGACTTCGACGCAGCGGGGCTGCCTTCATTCGCATAGGCATCGTCTCTCTGGATGATGCAGTAGGTATACGCGAAGCGCCAAATAACAGTCTTCACGTCAGCCGCCCTGAAGAATAAGCTGGAGCCCGGCTGTTCCACGACCCAATGAACACCACATAAATGAGCGACGATCGATAAGATAGCGCATCGATGATTCAGCGCATTACCCTCTGCTACGAACTTACGCGACGAATCGCCCATCGGCCTCTCACGTGAACGCTTCGATTGCGATCGGCTCATCCAGACCCATGAGGAACACCGACAAGCAAAAAACACAAGACCACCGCCGACGACCCGGAGGATACACAAGATAGCCAGAGCAAATCCCTTGTCGGTATTGATGTCCATATGATCGCCGTATTCCACATCGATTGCTGCGCGCTGCAGACCTGCCGTCAAAGCCCATTTCGTAATCCGCGCCCTACCGGCGCAAACGTCAACGAAGTCCAAGTTCCTGACGACTACTAAAGGGCGCTCATTGCAACCGCTGATTTGTTGAATGCGACCAGGAATATGAAATAGGATATTCATCGGTACTGTCCAGGTGTGATTCTTCCATGCAGGGTGCAGAGCCAAGGTTGGCATAATACTCCACAGCGCGTAGCTGGCGGTCTCGGACCTAAGGGGGCACTTGGGACGCTAGATTAGCATTCGCATGGCAAAACATTGCCGCGACAAGCAGCGCATCTTCCCATCGCATGGCATACCATAGCACGCCGGAAGACAACTTGCGATTCAAATGTGACGCCTCCAAAATTCTCCTCGTGCTCACCCTCCTCATCCTCATCCCCCCCTCTTCCTGCCCAGCATCTCCTCGTCCTCCTCATCGCCCTCATCTTCCCGAAGGCGTCGCTTCCCCGGAGGAGGAGGGGGGGGGGGGGGACTCGGAGGGAGAGAGAGGATGAGACGAGGGGAAGCAGGAGTCGGAGGACGACGATGGGGAGAAGGAGAGGGAGGCGGAGAAGTAGGACTCGGAGGGAGAAGGAGGAGGGGGAGGAGGAGGAAGAGGAGGAGGAGGAGGGGGGGGGGGGAGAAGGAGGAGCGGGAGGAGGAGGAAAATGAGGAGCAGGCCACGGTTCAGGAGGAGGAGAGGAGGAGGAGGAGGGGGATGGGGGGGAGAAGGAAGGGAGGGAGGAGGAGGGGGGAGGAGGGGGAGGATAAGGGCGAGGAGGAGAAGGAGGAGGAGGGAGGGGGGATTACAACAAGGACATGAGCAGTAGTTCCCCTTGAAGCTCCCAGAGACGTGAGATGGGCACTGCGACGCCTCAGCTCCTCGAGAGGCATGTCGGGGAAGCCAGGGTCCACAATTGTTTCCCCCCAGGCGCCATCTGCCCCAGGGCACAGCGCGCGCAGCGCGCAGAAAAAGCAGACACGGACAGCCATACTTGGGGGTGAAGCGGCTGCGAAATGGCGGTGGCGGTGGCAGTGCCGATGTTGCTACCGATGGCGACGACGCCTCCCGACGATGATGCTGGTGGCGGTGATGGCGACGACGATGATGTTAATGGTGGCGATGGCAACGAGATCAGTAGAAGCCCACCGTGACCCCCTGGGGACTACTATATTGCAGGCTGTAAAAGAGCAGGCGCCCGCGCTTGCAGCGGCCCCGGGTTGCCCAGGAAGGCCGCTTGCAGGCTCCAAGAGGGCCTGGGGGCCCAAGAGGGCTTTCTTCTTCTGGATGCTATTATTCCGCCCCAACATCTACACGTGACATTCTAAGAGACCGTTGCCACAGCTTATTAGGGTTCATTCGGCCTCGGATGGAGTTTGATTTGATTTGAGGAAGACCTCGGGTTCAAGGAGAGGGGTCGTGACCCCCCCTCCCCTTCGCGCCCCGAAAGCAGAGGGGTGACAGAGGACAGACAAAGGGAGCACCGCATCAGGCAAGCGTCTCACGCAGGCGAGTCCATCCAGAAGCGATGCTTCGCATGTATTTTCCGTCTCTCCACCGCCCCCCCTCTCGCGTTCGACGCTCGAGCCCACCTCGCGTGGGTGATCCGAATTTGACCTCTTGCGAGCCGCCTTCTTCTCATGGCTGGTCGCGCCTGGCACAGCTGGCTTATCAAATGGGGGCCTCAAGGGAGCACCGCTGTCAAGGCCTAAAGAAGACGAGCTGTAACGGCCAGTGCCCATGACGCGGACCTCACTGCGCCTCGCACCAAGTGCCCAAATATCTGGGGCCAGGACTCTTAACAATGGAACAATATGAGATCAATGGCCCCCCAACCTCTCCCTTCCCTCTCCCCCCCCTGGGGCCCCTGAGCCCGGAGTCCCTGAGCCAGGCATGGCCTCGAGCCATTGGGGCCCTTGAGCCCCTGGAACCAAGGGTTTCGCCCACCCCCCCCTCCTGGAGCCCCGGGGCCCCTGAGCCAGGCGTAGACCTTTTGGCTCGTGGCTCAACCTCTTCCGCTCCGCCCTCGCGTTGTCAAGGGCTTGTTGCGCGGCGATCCGTAGCTCGAGGTCTCTCTGGTCAACTGCGGGATGCCACCCCTCTGGACAACGCGGCCCAGTTGGAGTTGGGGGCGGGACAGGATAGGACGGTTTCCACGAGCATCACCAACACGCCACCCCCTTACCCCTTCCCCTAGCTCCAACCTGGCCGCGTCATCCAGCGCCGCCAAGAGGTCGGGATCGAAACCAGACTCGTTCTCCAGAATCGCGCGGTCTGAAGGGCCCATCGTTGCCCGGGTGCCGAAAGCATCTCCGATTTGGCGGGGTGAATGCGGCGGATATTTCCGAGCCTGAAAACCACGGGAGAACAGGCAAGTCAGGAGGGCGGATGAGGGATTACTCCGCTGACGTAGCCGACGATGACGGCGAGGACGACGGCGAAGACCACGAGAACGACGACGACGTGGCCAGGCTACCCCAACGAGCCCCACCAGCCCTCTGGGCGCAGGTGGTTTAGGGAGTTTCCTCTTCCACCCCCTTTGTTTCCCTTCGGGGAGGGGTTTACCCCTCCCCCCTACCCCCCCCCCCCTGGACTTGGACGGGGCCGGTCGCGAGCGGTCAGGGCGCCCAAAACGGCACCGGCGAGGAAGCCAAAATCATCGGTTTTACTATGGTTTTGGCTCCATTTTTTTCTCTTGAGGGGGAGGGGTTAATTAACTCCACCCTCTTCTTTGATCGATCGCTTCCAAGATGGCCCCGAAGGGCGCCCAGGAGGCCCCCAGAGGCTTCCAAGAGGCCTCCAAGAGGCCCCAAGAAGCCGCCATGAGGCCCAAAGAAGCCCCCAAGAGGCTCCAAGAGGCTCCCAGGATGGTTCCAGGAGGCTTCCAAGAGGCTCGAAGAGGCCGCCACGAAGCTCCAAGAGACCCCCAAGAGGCCCCAAGAGGCCTCCAACAGGCCCCCAAGAGCCCCCCAGGAGGATCACAAGCGGCCTCAAGAGGCCCCCCCGAAGCACCCGAGACGCCCAAGAGCCCCCATTGACCGCCAAGAGACCCCCAAGACGCCCGAAGAGGCTTCCAAAAGGCTTCCAAGAGGCATCCGAGCGGCATTCAACCATCCACCCAGCGTCATCATTGTCCTCATCCCTCCTTCGCTCGGTTCTTCGTCACCCCCTCATCTATCCATCTGGCCTCCTCTTCCGCCTCATCCTTTGCACGGATCGGCTGTCCCTCCCGTTGCTCCCCCACTTCCATGATCTCTTCAACTTGCCTGGACATATCGTTTCTGGATGGGCTGGCGGGGATGCGCGAAGCGTCAAGAATTTCTCGACACCCCAAGATGGTGCCGTCAAGCTGCCTAAACGCAGCCCATGACGGCCTCCAAATGTGCCCCGAGACGGCCGGCGTTTGGCCTAACAGACATCCAAGACGATCCAACATGATGGCGAATCCCTCTCGGCGCGTGCTCGTGGGCACTTATGCGTCTCCATCGCCCTGGACGCGCCGTCGTCGTCGCCGTCGCCGTTGTTTCGCATGCTTGCCGTCGCCATTGTCGTCGTTATCTTTCTGCGCGTACTCCCTGCATGCTGCTACGCTTCCATGGTCAGCATCTTGCATCGTGTTGCTGGATGGGTTGCTGGGATACGTGATCACTATCATGGCGTTGGCCGTCATTGCTGATGCTTGGTTGTCTGATTGGATCCTGTATTTCGATAGTTTCTTGACTCTCCTGATCATCCTGATCCTCCTGATCCTCCTCTCCCTCCTCTCCCCATCCTCTCCCTCCTCACCCCCTCCTCTGTTGTTGAGAGTCTGCGCGTTTCTCACAGTTCTGCGATTGCTCAGAGCTGGCGCACCAGCAGGCAAGTTAAGTTCAGGCGTCTGGGACGCAACATGGAGGGCAGACTGATGTGCCAGAGCATGGAAGGCAAGCGCAACTCGCTTGCGATAAAATATCAAGTTAAAACACACTCGGAAGAAAGCCCGGATAAGACACATCACCACATATCATGATGCATGTCCGCAGGCATGAGATCTTGCCCACGGTTGGGCCACATGAGCTGAGCAACAACAGCAATTGTTGGAGTCGGACTGAGATTATACTGAACTTGCATTTCGGGGGGGCTTGGGTTGGAGAAGCTGGGGTGGCGGGGGTCCAAACAAGCAACAACGCCTACTTATTAGACCACTGTGCCAGCAAGGCCTGCAAGTCCTCCGCTGGGCCTGCTACATCAGACGAGGCATCCGCCTTGCCTTTCACCTTCCCCGCCTCCCCAGCGGATCCCTCAGCTCCAGCAGCAGGGCTGTTTCCTGCTGCGGCCTCGGGGGTCTCGCTGCCCTTGGCCCTGGCCTTTGCCTTGGCCTTCGGGGTCGGCGTGCCCTCCAAGCTTGCCAGCATCGCGTCGACTGAGGACCCAAGCGCAGTCCTCTTCGCCTCGGGGCTGATGAGGTCTGAGTCGCCAGCGCTCCGCTTCCGCTGCATCTCGTACAGCTTGAGGCGCCCAGGCTTGCACTTCTCCAGGCGCTCGTCTTGGTCCGCTGGGAGGAACCTGCTTAATGCGGGCCCGGATTTCTGGATCTCGTCGAGCAGATGCGCGCGCAAGACGTCGCTCAGCACTTTGACGTGGGCTTCGTTATGACACACGACTATCGATTTCACACTGAGCATGAACGCCGCCTTGATCATATGCCCAGCCCCCGGAGTGAAATTGATCAGCGCGCGGGCCCCGGCCTCCCACAGAAATTGAGCGCACGCCTATGCGATGCAAGCCCCCCATCAATCTTTAGCCAGACACCTCATCATCCTCATCTTCCTTATCCTCATCCTCCTCCTCTTCCTCCTCATCCTCGTCCTCCTTGTCATCCTCCCCATTCTCCTTCTCCGATCCCCCCCCCCCCCCCACTGTCTCGATGAGGAAAGGATGGGGGAGAGGGGGAGGAAGAGAAGGATTACGATGAGGAGGAGGAGAAGGAGGAGGAGGAAGGAGGAAGGAGGAGAAGAGGAGGAGGAGGAGGAGTCAATGACGATGGGGCTTTGCATATCCTCGCAGGCGCACCCTCATGTGCAGCTCCATCCAGAACAGGACGACTAATGTGGCAGTGCCGCCGTTGATCGCCTCCAGGGGGTCAACTGCTGTATCGTCAGGTGCCTCGTCGTCGTCATCGTCGGACAGGTCCTGGCCCTTGGCCGCCTTCGCCCCAGGAGTCCACGTCTCCGAGCCGCACGCGTGCTTGAAGACTGCCTCGCGGTCGGAATACGATACCTTTACCATGCTGTCCTTGGAGACCACGGGAATGCCAGCCATTGTCCGGAATGCCGTGTTCCCTGGGACGAATCGCCGAGGGATTCCTTTTTCCGTGTCCATGGCGCGCTTGGTCTTCATGATGTGCAGGCACTGGTCGGTGAGGTCCACGGTGCCAACTACGCTGCTCTCGACGCGGAGGCGTTGCGACACCTCGCCCTCGTCTGGCAGCGTCTCCAACTCCTTGACCGCGAGCTTGGGCTTGCATTGCATCACCATCTTCTTTGCGTCACGATGGAATAGCTTGTTGCGGCCGCTGACGATCACGGCGGAATCTGACTCATTGATGAACGACGCCACGATGTTGACCATATGGTTGATGTGGCCCTCGTCCGGCGTTGCCTTCATGCGCCACGCAGATGCTTTGTTGTTGGGGTCCTTCGCGGAGTCGGCGCCCGCGTTGAAGAACCACAGGCGCGAAGCCCCTGCTGCAATCATCGGCTGCTTCTCGATATCAGCCAAAAGGGTGCTTGACCACTTCGTGAACACGACGTTGGCCATCAAGAATTCGTCCGCCATTTTCAATAGTTCGTTTTTTTCTTGTCCTCGAATACGTTTCTCGACGACTTGGCCTCGTCTTCGGTAATTAACCCGCTGGCCTCACAGCTCATAGCTACGTCGAACTCTTCGCGCTCGCCCTGAACCGCGCGTTCCTTGGCCCCGCGCTCAGCCACGCCCACCTGGTAGAGCTGATCCAACTCGGGCAACATGTCCTTGATGAAGGGGACCGCCAGAGCAGTGGGGTGCCCGAGGAATGCCTGAAACTTCTTGTTGAGCATCGTAGGGGGCAGGATCTCTGAGTTCAGCTTCTCCGCAGTGCCCTCGCCAAGGATCGGGTAAGTGTGGCTGACATGTAACAATTCCTTGCCATCAAAATCCAAACCTGATGGGTACTCCTTGTGGAATGTCTTCAGCGTCTTGTAGACGGACAGCACCGACTCGAACAGAGGATACCGTGGCAACAGTGAAGAAGGAACTTTCGTCATAGTCAGGATGGCCTCGGCGGTCTCAGGGGCGCGCCTGCCGCTCGCCTTCACGTTGTATCCGCGCAGAAGCATGACATGCTAAGTCTCCGCCAGCATGCGTAGGTCTCCAAGGTCTGGAACTGCGCTCTGAAATGCATCAAAAGACCTGCCCGTCTCCTGCATGGCAACATTCGGATGCTTGCGCCCCCAGATCTCCTCGTTGCGGTCGAAGTAGTACAGGGCCGAGTCCTTGTAGGCCGGGGCGCCGACGCCGGCAACTGCCATCGACAGGCGTCTGAGGATGCGGAGGTGCAGCCTGATGTTGTACAAGTTCATCGTAGTCTCCTTATGCGCCCAGGTGATGCCGCCAGAATTGAACAGCTTTTCGATCGCCGGGGGCGTGCTGCTCTGAGAATTCGAACGAAGAACTTCTTGGAGCCCTGCTAGCTCGCGCGCTCGGCCAAGGAGGGAGTGGCCCAACAAGTCCGCATTCTTCTCTTCGTCCTCCTTATACTGGTATACCTTCAGCACGCGCTCGTTGTCATTGTTCCGCTTCGCGAACTTCATCGGGACTTGCGTTGCCGCTTCCACGATCTTGGCGAGCTTCCCTTCTTTCTCCTGCACGTCGCGCAACAGCATGAGCCAGGCCAAATACAGCGTGCCCAGGTTATCGCGCTGCAACTTCCGCACCGTCTCCGGCGCCAGCGTCTTGTAGAAGCTGACCTCGACGATGTGGCCAGGCGGTGGGAACGCGTAGCACCCTTTATCCTGGTAGTCATGCTCGTACACCTTCTTTACAGCACCCTGCAATGGCCACACTGCTGGCAGGGTCATCGAGCACATGTTCAAGACCTGGCGGAATCACAAACACGAGACTAAAGGAGTGGACGGAGGGTTGGACGGAGTGCGGGGACGAGAAGGCGGCGAGAGAAAGGGGGGAGTTGGGGGGGGGAGATGGGGGGGAGAGGAACACCCTCTGCCCTTGCCTGCTCATTTCCTCCTGAGTTCGCTGTTTCCACCGCCTCCTCTTCCTTGTCCTCCACCTCCTTCTCTTCCTCCTCCCCCTCCTCCTCCGACTTCCTCGGCAACCATCCTCCTCATCATCTTCCTCTGCTCCTCCTCCTCCTCCGCCTTCTCCCTCTCCTCCACTTATGTTTTCCATGTTTTGGGGTAGGTGATGGGTTTTGATGCACCCGTGGCGACCCATATCGGCGGGGACATGGTGAAGTCAGCAATCTTTTGCATGATGCTGTTCACCGCCTCATTCTGGACCCTCTTGAAGCTCCTCTGGGCCAGGCTCTTGAGCGTCGTGACCCATGGTGGCTCCTGGCGCACATGCGCAGGGCTAGTCTCATCTCCGTCGGCCCCCATGGCTGCGCAGAAGCAGGCAGCCGCGCAGAGCGATAATAACCTCATCGCTGAGCCTTAAAGCCTGCAGCTACTGAAGGGGGGCCGGAGGGGCGGCCTGAGGGGGAGACTTGGGGGGACCTTGGACCTTCGTTGGGTTGGCCTTGGGCCTTAGTGCGGCCTGGCTAGACTTTCGTTAGGCCTTGGGCCTTGGGCCTTCGTTGGCTGGGCCGTGGGCCTTAGTGCAGCCTGGCTAGACTTGCGTGGACCTCGGAAGGGGGACTGCCACTGCCACTATTACTGCCGCTGCTACTACAACTGTTACTGCCACTATTACTGCTACTGCCACTATTACTAGGAGGTGGAGGGGACTGCCACTGCCACTATTACTGCTACTTCCATGTTTTTACTACTGCCACCGCTATTGCTACTGCAAGAAACTGCTGCTGCTACTACTACTGCTACTGCTATTGCTGCTGCCGCTGTAGGTGTTAGAAGAGGCGGAGTCTGAAGCGCGCGTGGAGTCTGAACAGGAAAATCCTCACATCTAGTTACACCTAGTTACACCTAGTTACGCCCAGTTACACCTAGTTACACCTAGTTACACCTAGTTACCCTCAGTTTCCCTCAACTACCCGAGTTAAGGCATGACGCAATCAGTCTGAATCGGAGTGCAGGCATTCGAACCTGGAACCTCGGTCCTCGATCCTCACCTCGGTCATCGATCCTATCCTCGGTCCTCGATCCTGGTTACATTTTTCAAGACAACCTCGCCGACACATCGGCGATACATCGGCGATGCATCGCCGATGCATCGGCGACATCGGCGATGCATCGACGATGCCAGCGCGGAGAAAATCGAGCTCCACATCGGGCCGCATCGCCGATGCATCGACGATGCGGCGCGATCCTCCAACCCCATCTGCTTGGACCCAGGGGGGCCAGGAAGAGGGGGTGGTGCGCACTGGGGCCAAAAGCATGGGGCGCGGACGAGCGGGGGCCTTGGAGCGTGTTGAACAAAGAAGCAGAAGAAGAACAAAAAGGAAAATAATAATAATAATAATAATAATAAATGAAAATAATACTATTACTAATAATACAAAGAATAATACGAAGAAGAATAATACTAATGTCAATAATAATGATAAGAGTGATAAGGATGATACGAATTATACGAAACATATTATTATACTCATGATCTCATGATCATAGACATCACAACTACTGATAACACTTATAGAGGAATGCGTATGATACGAATAGGAATGCGAATACCAATGCGAGTACAAATGCGAATGCGACGAGCAATCATGAGAACACGAAAACGATACCACATACAACATAACAATAAACAATGGTAACCATGAGTGTTATAACGAAGAGGGCGAAGAATACGAATCAGAAAATAATAAGAAGGTAAATGTATGGGAAATAATACTAAGAATAATAAGAAGAGGAAGAGGAATAAGACGAAGACGAAAAAGAAGAAGAGGAAGAGGAATAATAATAATAAAAAAGAAGAAGTCACAGTCCTGAACCCCCTGTCGGGCGCCTGGTGTTTTCAGGACGCCACACCCGGTCTCCGGCGGCCTCTCACGGGACGATCCGGGCACACCTGGGGGGCCGCTCCTGGCGAGGCGCGGCTGCGGCTGAGCATCCGGAGGCTGGCAAAACCCCAGGGAGCCCACGAAATCGCAAGCAAAAAACCTCCCTGGACGAGGCCCTGCACGTTGCGAGTGATGGGAAACGCAATTTTCTTTCAAAAACCGCACTCAATGAGCCACAATAGCGTTTCCCATAACTTTAAGCTATGGGAAACGCAATCCCGGACGACTGCCGCCCTGTAGTCCCTCTCTGGCGCCTCCGATGATGCCTCGACGGCGCCTGGAAATCTGGGCCCCTCCCGTTCCTGTCGGCCCCATCGGACCCCTCATGCAGGCGGTCTCGGAGACCTTGAACCCAAAATTACTTTCATCTCTTGGGGGGACATATTCTACTTCCGACGACCTTCCGCTGCCCTTCCGCTGCCTTCCGCCGAGGAAGAAATGACAACTCCTTCGACCCTTGAAGGCAAGGCCCTTTCTGAAACGCCCCACGTGGCGCTTGCAGCCTGCCGAATATTTCTCTGGAAAACCTGGCCTCGTGGCGACAAGGACGCGCTGGCAGTCCCAGCCAAGGCCCAAAACCGCCAGGAACCCTACGGCCAGGGACTTGTGCTGAGCGTGTCGCAGCGGCGCCCCTGGAGGCACGCTATGCCTTGGCGAGCTGATAGCGTGTCGTTCCGCTCCATGGGGCGGGAGGCTGGCAGGAGTTCGAGGAGGTGACGCTGTGCGCTGTGTAACCGGATCGTGCTTAGCATGCGGCGCCGCAGCGTGGTGAGCCAGAACCGGCGGCGCCACACGCCTCGTCCTCCTCATCATCATCATCATCCCCCTCACCATCACCACCACCACCATCCTCCTCCTCTTCCTTCTCCTCCTCCTCCTCCTCTTCCTCCCCCTCCTCCCCCTCCTCCTCCTCCTCCTCATCCTCCTCCTCCTCGTTGTCCTCAACCCATCATGTTGTTCATCCCCGCTGTCCGTCACAATCATATTCCTCTCCTCATCGTCATACGCATCGTCATCATCATCATCATCATCATCATCATCATCCTCATCATCATCATCATCACCATCATCATCATCATCATGATGTCGCGACCCCGGAAAGCCTGACGCCCCGAAGCCCGAGGGGAGGAGGAGGAGGAGCAACAACAACAGGAACAGGACAAGGATAAGGGAGGGGGGAGGAAGGAACATGAGTGAGGCAGAGCAGCGAGGAAGGATGGCGGAAAAAGATGAGATAGGAGGGGGCGAAGGGAGGTGTTGGCGCCGCTGTCCCCCGCAGTTGTCCCTCAGTTCCGTCTCAGTTTCTTCCGTCAGAAAGAGGCTGCAGTTGTAGGGTACCAAGCCGCAAACGCAGTGCCAGGAAAGCTAAATGCAACCGAGAGGAAACGGAGTGCAACTGAGGGAAACTGAAAGGAGGGGGCGAAGGGAGGTGTTGACAAAGGGGCGCCGCTGTCCCCTTCAGATTTCCCTCAGTTTCGTCTCAGTTCCTTGCGTCAGAAAGAGGCTACAGTTGTAGGGTACCAAGCCGCAAACGCAGTGCCAGGAAAGCTAAATGCAACCGAGAAGAAACTGAGCACAACTGAGGGAAACTGAATGTAAC